AAACCAGAGGAAAGGGGAAAACAGATAAGCCTGCCCCTCCAGCTACCCCCCAGCAAGTTGAAAAACATAAGTCTAAATGTTTGGCCACTGAAATAGAAATCATAAGAGAAGTGGAGGCTGGTGAATATTTTTTTAAAATCTTTGGATGCATTTTTAGAGACGCTTTAAAGGGGTCTCTAGAAGGTTCAAAATGTTGCTATTTACTTATGCAAGGCTTACCTGACTTGGTTATTTCATTTCCCACATTAATATAGTGAGTTTTGGATAAAAGGTTTGTTGAAACATGTTAAACTGCTTTTATTTTTGTAGTATGGGACCCTATGCCTATTCTTTCCATTTTATTACTGCCTCTGGCACCAAATTTGCTGTTAAAAGATGTAATTCTGAGGAATACATCCACTTTGTTGAGGTATGGGCTGTTGCAGACGGGCAGGAAAAAGCAGCTCGATCCTGCATTTTCTGAAAGTGGGTCAAAACTCTGCTGTCCACACAGCCTGCTCCCAAGGCAGATCCAACACCCACGGCAGCCCGCATGGCGCGGCCTCAAGCTGCGCTGCTTGGTTGTTGCTTTTTTTGTTGCCTCCCCGCCATGCATGTACACCCTCCACACAAACATACTGCCTGCAGCTTCCAAGTACCTCCTACATCCTGCCCAGATGCCATCCCATTGGACTCCTGCCTGTATGATCAGCCATACAGTCACACATGCAATCAACTGCCAGTAAAATATATTGGTGTACGAGTGGTACATTGGCAAAGCACAATCATGGAGGCCACCCCATACATGTCCCCTTCACCCTATGCCCCTTTTGGACTGTCTTGTTTGTGTATGTTGTCATTACATCCATTGTAATTGTTGCAGTTTCATTTTTTTGCTTTGCTGCAGCAACGCACTGGCGCTGGCCTAATTATATGCCAACGTGAAGATGCGTATTTTCTGCCTTGAGTCAGACTATCGTGAATTCTTTTTCCTCCAGTTTTTAGCTCCAGAGCATGGCTTCAGTCTACTTTCAAGGCATGTGTTATCTAAACGCCCTGCCTTTAAAGCGGCTGGAAGCCAGTTTATTTTGCCCATGTGTTTCACCCTGGCACCTATATATAATAGGATGTAGCAACAGTCAATTAAAAAATATGGGCAAAATTCATATGGGATATAATGAAGCAAACACCTAAACCTTTCATTATGAAAATCAGTATGTACTTAATAAGATAACCTTTAGTCTGCTGTCTGCTGTCCTAACAGTCAAGGGCTGGCAATATTCTACAAACCAGAAAAAATAAGACTTGAGTAAAATAGACACTCAGTCAGACACTGAGCCTCCTAAGAAGAGATTATTTGAGATGTCTGTAAAAGGAAACAAAATGGGAGACTGAGGATATTGTTTGGTAACATTTTTCTATTTATTCATGTTTGTATGCAAGAGTGGCTTGTTTACAAATGCTCAAATAAATATATAGAGCACCCAGTATGAGATTAAATGGATCTAGATCGGGGGTCGGCAACCTCCGGCCTGCGGGCCGGATGCGGCCTGTGGAGGCCTTCGGACCGGCCCCTGCCCGGTCCTGCCGCCGCCACCGCGGGGCTCCTCCAGGGCACCATTTTGGATTCATAAATGGCGCCTGGAGTTTTGTGCGACCTTTCCCATCGCGAGAAAGGTCACACGAGACTCTGGGGCGCCATTTTGGAATCCAAAATGGCGCCCCGGAGGAGGCCCAGCACTGCCGAGGGAAGCCTCCTGGGGGGAAGCGTGACGTGGGGGGCGGCCGGCATTTTCTTTTTTAAAATGACGGCATGTGCGCGCGCACATGCCCCCAGCACCATTTCCCCCCCGCCGGCCCATTGGCAAAAAAGGTTGCCGACCCCTGATCTAGATGATCTAACTCATCCAAAAATGCCTGGCACTGATAAGTTTTAGCAGACACCCTAATATCTTCCCCAGAAACAAAGGACA